CACAGGATAATTTGTTGTTAAAATGAAAATGAGAATTGTTTTCAAATGATGCGTCATTCACTAGCTTTGAACACAACATTTTCACAAATTATGAGTTTCAACACATGGAATAATTTGTTGTTAAAATGAAAAATGAAATTTTTTTTTAATGGTGTGTCATTCACCAGCTTTGACCACATAGTCATTATAGGAGTATTTTTGTCTTTCTGCAGTGCAAATTAATTACAGTTAGGACCTACGATATTATAGTATAATTTTAAAATCAGTTAGTCATCAACTGTGAATATGTTTCTCTAGCGATCATGGGCTATAATTTTTCCTAAAAAAATAGTGTCAAATCAATTTTTTTTAAAGTTTAGTGCCGAAATATAAAAGGAGTAGTTAGTCATACAGTGATCCAAACTGAACATTAATATTTTGATAAAAATTTTATTTGCCATTCTTCCTTTTTGTTATGCATTGCATAATTACCCGTCTTTACATCGTCGGTATGAATTAATTTATTTTTTCAATCCATGATATTGCTGTTCAGGCCTCCCATAGAAGTTGACACGTATCAAAATGCTTTGCTTAGCCAACACATTGGTTGAATAGTGATCATTTTATCTTGAATAAAATAAATGAATCGCATACTGGTTAGATGGGAATTTTAAATATGGATATACTCCCTTCGTCCTAAATTATAAAGCACTTTTAAAGAAAATTTTTCATCCTAAAATATAAAATACTTTGAATAGAATAAGGTTTCATTAAATGCATTAGTTTTAATATTACCCTTTCTCTCTCTATAATTAATTTATGTCCCTTCTCTTTTCAATATATTAAATGATGGGTATTTGTGAAAGTTTATATTTTTATTTTGAAAAGATAAGATTGCTAAATGTATTTAATGAGGTCTGTTGATATATAAAATTTTATCTAAAAGTGTCTTTGAGACAAAGAGAGTATTATATATGGTGAAAAAAATACGGATATAGAAGTGAAGATATTCAGTTTTTGAACAAACGAGCTGTAATTCTTCCATAGTTTGCCATAGATGCTTTTCTAAGGGGGAAACAAAAATCTTCATTTCATAGCATTATTATCTTAAAGCCCTTTCATAGTGAAAACATATAGTTTGCTCGCCTTAGATTGAAGCAACTCTATAAACTTTTATCAGGTGAAAAACTTGGCGAAAAAAAAATCAGGTGAAAAACTGTGATAAACATCAAAACATCATTATATAGGAAGAAATTCAGTTATGGAACACGGTAGGATGTTAATTTAAATTACAGACTAAAATAATTTAAAAATACACTGCAAGATCAATTGATAGAAATGAAATTATATTTTAAAAGGAAATAATAAAAATACCTCTAATTGGCCTGGTTGACATAATTATTACCCCAAGGTGACCAGGTTTTGAACTTGTGCCCCATGATTTACAAAAAATAAATAACCACTGAGCAGTGGCGGAGTCAGGATCCTAAGTTAGGGAGGCAATGATGAAGCTAGGATCCTCAGTAAAAGGAAGACATTTCTGTCTCTTCCAATCAACTATTTCTCTCTTTTTTTTCTTTTTCTTTGTTCTCCATCTAGCTTTCAATTATAAATTCATAAATGCAACGAACTAATAAAAAATATTCACCCAATTTACTCCTAAGTTTTGAATCTTCATTATTTATCAATGCCTTTTTTTTAACTAGCCCCTGAGTAGCATTTAGGGTGAGGAGTGAGTCTATTTAGTCATATTAAATTTTTTTCTATTTTTAAATAATTAATAAATAATATTGGTATTTAGGTATAGTGAAATTGTGGGCTAATATTCATGAAGCTAAGTTAAAAATTTGAGTTGATAGAGGCTAAAAAAGTAAGATTGAAATGGGTTTAAAGTTTAAAATATGAAGATAAAGGGGTGCAAAGTATAATAAGTGAAAAGTGTACATTACAAAATATAAAATTCTATACTCCGAGACAAGTAAGCATATGCCCCCTCTCAATTACATGTGGCTTCATTACTACTACTGAGCCTAATAATATATCTTAATCATGTAATGCAAAATTACACGCACACACAACATAAACAAAGTTTCTAAACCAAGTTCTTGTTAACTTGTAATTTCATTAATGCTTACTTGTTAATTCCACAATGAATACTTTTTAATTCATTAAAAGGACTTGTTACCTATACATCTTTCATACTTAATCTTGATTTGTTGCTGAATTGAAGTCGACTTGTTAAAATAACTCAATTTACCATTTTAGCAATATTTACTTGTTAATTGATTAAAGGATCTTGTTAGTAGTACTCTCTACATATCCAATATTGTTAACTTGTTACAACATGTAATTGATTTATTGAAACCTTGACTTGATATAATAACACTTACTTGTTAATTAAACTTAATTAACAATATTTTTTACATGTTTAATATTGTTGACTTGTTATGACATAATAGACTTGCTCGTGAGCACATGTCCATACTTGCTCACGATATGTTTATTTTTTAGGGTGATTTTATTATCTGTGACAACAATAGCGGCATGTTTGCTAGCATCAAATGTGGTGCTCACACGCGTAACTTGGTAAATCTTTAGTGGTAGACTTTTGTTGACCTTAGGTGGCTTTTGTTTTCAAAGCAGGTTGCTTAACATCACCTTTTTGATGTACAGCTTTCTTATATCGCTTTTGTCTCACATATGTCTAACGTGTTTCCCCTTTATTATTAGTTTCTAGTAAGTCATTCTCTAAAGGCAGAGGTGCTTCATTCCTCTTTAATCCCTGCATCGCCTCTGTGGTCTCCACAGATATGTCATCTGAGGTAGCTAGGAGGTCAAATTTGGAGCCATGGTTGAAGTTTGGTCTGATGTTTTCCAACGGCTTATGGTACCCCCTGTCAGGCCTCCATCCTGGTTTTGTAGCTTTCATAAAAGGTTCTACTTGGGTTCTGTGCATGGTGTATCTGTACTATCAATTGCCATTATTGAACTTGTGTTAGTCACAGCGATGGCAGAGCTGGCTTCTTGAGAGCAAAGCCTGTTCAAGGTGACTGTACCTACCGCAATGGTAGCAAATAACTGGAAGGCCTTTATACTTGATAAGTTGCACAGTACCATCCACGGATATTCTAGACATCAACGGTTGGGTAAGATTGACTGCCACCGCCATTTTTGCAAACTTCCCCCTCCCCCGGTCTTCAGTGTTATAGTCAATCTTTACTACTTGCCCGAGGAGTTCACTTATACATTTGAGTACACTCTTGTGGTAATAATGAAATGATAAACCTGACATCCTTATCCATCTAATCACCTTTGTGACAGTGAAAGTCTTAGGGGAGAAAGATGGCATCTAAGGTTGTACAGTTAGGTAATGACTGAAGATGACCCAAGATCCTCCAGTTAACGCAGCGTCATATTCTTCCTTACTTTATAACTCCATAACAAAGCAGTTGCCTTCCAAGTCACTGATTTTCCAATCGCCGGATGGGTTCTAAAGGTTGATGATGTGATCACAAAGTGTTTTAATCCCAATGGGACGCCCTCTTAGTTTAATCACCATAAAAAATTTCATATTTTCAAAAAGAGCCTCTTTGACTTTATCGGAGAATGAGATAGATGGAATGGCCCCTGTTTTTTCTATTTTAATATCGTTGGCTTTAATGGTTAGCTCCCCTGTCTTCTTTTGACCGTTGGCCTCCATGGATGGTACGTTATTCAGTAGCTTGTCCTTGAATGATGGTGGAGTTGGAATATCTTTAATGAACGCCATTAGGGTGTCAACAACCTTTTTCTTCTCCTTGTCATTGGACTTGGGAAGGGTGTCTTTGGAAGTCTGGGACATCAGTTCATCCTCGTCACTTGCAGCCTCACAGTCAGCTTTCATATCCATGGAGGGTAAGGTTTCATCTTGTTCATTCCCACGTATTTTGACCTTCTTTGTTAATCAATTGTCATCGGGATAATATGGTGCAATGTCCTTCTCATTGAGGGAAATGTCAAGAGAGCACTCCATGGTTTCTAACACTCCTTGCTCACGATATGTTAAACCTACACAAACTCACATTTTCTCGTGGACACGTGCATGCATTTTCTCATAGATAAAATAAGGGCAAACTTAGAGTTTGCTCAATGGTGGATCCATGGAATGTTTAGATATAGTTGATTTTTTTCCCAAGCAACGTTGGATAAGACCTATGGTAATAAGAATAAAAGCCACTTTTAAGTATGGATAACGTTATCGGATCCTTCTTTTAATTTGAACATTACTAAAAAGAAGTTTGCTAATTAAAATTTTAGGATACAATTTACTTATTAAAAAACTCACGAAATTAAACTACCCTTGAAACCTTAACTAGAATTGTCCAATTGACAATCAAGGTTGGTTAAGCGTTACTACAACATAACATTAAACTGTTTTTAAAAAGTTTTATGATGACATTGTATTACTTGAAGTTGAGAATACCAATTATATAAGGCAAAAATTTTTTAGGGTAAAATTATCATTTAATCCTACTATATTTGGCATAGTAGAAATATAACTGGAATGAGAAATAGTATATAATAAAAATTAACCAAAATATTGAATTGTTGTAGATAGGCCCCAATAAACACGTGCACAAATAAGAAGCATTGTTAAAAACAATAACCAATAATCTGTTATCGATCAAATAACTAAATAAACATGACTTTTGGATAAAAATATAAACGTAAATATAAAATAAATACGATGACAAATATAATAAAAACATAAATAAAAATAAACACAGAGAACCAAAATACAAATGATAATTAATGAAGATTGATTTAATTTAGTGGTGGACTGGAATCTGCCTCATTGATGAATCAATTGGGTCTTTGGAATTGAGATAGGCCCAGCAATGAATGGTCACTGGTTCTTACAAAAAATTAAAAAAAAAAAAAGTGGTCCCCGGTCAGCGCAGTTTCAAGTTTCAACAAAGAAGTAATGGCGAATGGAATATCATGAGATGGGCCGTACACTTTTTCCTTCCCCGTTTCTGCAATTCCATTTTCTAACCAAACAAGCCGTAAGGTTCACTGCTTATTTTCACAGAAGGACAGTGTTGCCCCGAGCGCATAAAAGGAGTAACTTGAATCAATGTGACAGGGGAGGCAAGCGAAGGAACCCAGGAGCATGGCAAATCCGTGATTTGAACAAGTTCAAGCCCTAATTCCAGACGCATCCTTTTCCGTACATCAAAAGATCCCCTGCCTGCGCCTCTTGGCGGGGGAGCATCACTCAGACGATCGCAGTGAGAGCAAATTCGGGCATTGCATTGCAGAGGGGCATCGGAGAATGGGAAATCGACGGTTTACTCAGGTCGCCACCAGTGACGAAGAGGAAGATACCCCGCCTCGTCCACAGCAGCAACGACAGCAACGGCAACAATCTTCCGCTTCCGAGGAGAACCGGTCGAAGCAGCGTAAGAGGAAGAGGATGAAGCTTCAAGAGGAAGAAGACGAGGAGGAGGAGGACGACGACAAGAAAAAGAAGAGAAAGCAAAAGGACAAGCAAGAAGGCTCGGTGAGTGTTGGCGATGAGGAGGAACAGCCACAGGAGGATGCCAAGCCAATTGGCGATCCTGTTAGGGTTTCAGGAAAAGGAAGAGGCAGGAGGAAGCATTACGATTCCTTCGAGTTCGACGGGAACCAATATACACTTGTATGTTTTGCTGTTGGCGATAGATTTTATTCTCGCCTTGCCTGATTAATTGTTGGATGAGCTTTTCGCTTTGGATTAACTCGAGCTATCGCTGGGATTCAACTAGTTTCTATTAGACCACTGGGATTCATGAAATTGACGATAACGCTCCGGTCTCTTTTCTCGAGAATTTTTAGGCTCATAAGATTCTGAGTAAAAGTACTTGATGAACGAGTTTCAGCTTAGGGACAATGAAATGAGAGGGCGGTGGAAACATCGTTTTGAAAATTGGGGAACGAAGGGGAATCTCGTATATGCAATAAAGTGCCAATGAATATATCACGCCACTTTGGTCCGTTAACAATGGATGCACCTGAAATTGTAACAGTGCATCTCTCCACGGTCCATACTGCATCCCTACTGGATTCCTTTACTGCCGCTCTTTCTACTTTATAGTATCTGAACCATAGTTAGAATCGTGATGATGAATTAGGCATTGTTTGTGCAATTTTCAATTGTTTTAAATGGTGGTTGCTGGTTGTTATTTGAAATTGGGTCCTTACCTTATTTTTGTAATAACATGTGAAATTTGATGCATTTTTTGTTTTAATCCCAACATTATCAACACTCGTTTTCTTTTTCCACAGGAGGATCCTGTACTCCTTGTTCCCGAGGATACAAACCAAAAGCCATATGTAGCAATTATTAAGGTATTATCCTGGTCCTTGCAAACTATTTTATCTGTCACAAGCGTTCTAGGCTCGTGCAATATATTGTTTTTGAGTAGTTTGGACCTTTCTTGTCTACCACAAAAACGGTTGTCTTCTTTCTCTCTCCCTCTTCTGATACATGGCTTGATCTGATCTCAGGACATTACGCAGTCCTTCAATGGCAGTATGATGGTGACAGGTCAGTGGTTTTATCGTCCTGAAGAAGCCGAAAGAAAAGGTGGTGGAAGCTGGCAATCACGCGATACAAGGGAGTTGTTTTACAGTTTCCACCGTGATGAGGTTCCTGCAGAATCTGTTATGCACAAATGTGTGGTTCATTTTATTCCCTTACACAAACAGCTCCCAAATCGTAAACAACATCCAGGGTTTATTGTGCAAAAGGTGTATGATACAGTTGAGAGAAAACTCTGGAAGCTGACTGATAAGGACTACGAGGATAGTAAACAGCAAGAAATTGATGATCTTGTTCAAAAAACTCTAAAGCGTATTGTTGATCTGCCTGACCTTGAGACTGAAGAAGCCACTGCTGATCAGGAAGATCAACTGAAGAGTAAAAGAAGTTTTCGGAGAAGGAACATTTCACCTCTGGATGTTTCAAGAGATGAAGAGGCAACTCCGAAGAGCGAACAACACCTTAAATCAGAAACACCAGGAAGTTGTGTAGCTAATACTTCAGAGCATTATCAAATATTAGCAAATTTCAAGGCACTAACGGGAGATTCCCATCGTGATAAATGGTTGGAAAGGCTGCTTCAAAACATTCAGTATATGTGTAACTCAGACGGTAGTACACAGAAGGAAGACAAAGCAAAGGACAACTCTGATGCAGTTAACCATAGAAGCAATAACGGTAGTTCAGTAACAACAAATGATTGCCAAGACAAGGATAAGAAGGTAGTGAATTTTATGTCATTGGGAACTCCTATATGGGGAGTTTCATCAATATCATATTTTCCTTACTTCCCAATTTCTTCATGGGGATATTTGGATTAACTGTATTTTGCTGCACTGCAGAGTTCTGAGTCTTTTGTTTGGCCAGATGCTGCTGTTCCAGCCATAGTTGCTCTGGAAAAAGCTTCACATGATGCCCTTGCCTTAGATTATCAGAAGTATAACCAAAAGTTGCGGCAGTTGGTGTTTAATCTCAAGGTCTGAAGGTGCCTTCTTGTTTATGAGCATCTGAATCTGCATATTTGTTCATATCACCACCGTCACTGCTGCCAATGCTTTTGTGAACTTTATGACTAGAGAAATTGATATGGACATCTATAGATATGTTTTCCTAAAATTATAGTGATGATTTGCTTGTATCACCATTTTACATGTTTTTGGTGCAGAACCATAGACTAGCTCGCCGTCTATTGAATGGAGAGTTGGAACCTTCAAAGATTCTGAACATGTCTCCTAATGAACTGAAGGTATGATAATTTCCACCCATCTCTTGGTAGGACTTTGAAGCTGTTTGTTCATGATTAATTCTTTTTCCAAGGATTTTGTTATAATAAATTCTGATTTAAGCAAGCAGCTTCTGGTTGTCTTCTTTTATCAGTTAATACCATGCATGGGTTCAACCTTTGTCTGTGATTTTGATAATATATTTATCATTTGGCACTATTCAAGGCTTAATATTTTGTTTTGTGCAAAAAATTTGTATCTTGTTTGAATTTCCTCCCCGGGAGAGTTTTTATGTATCAGCTAAGAAAAGGTAGAGAGTGGAATGGTGGACTAGCTCTTCGTATATCAATTAGATTCTAGTAATAGATGTTAGAACTTGATTGGTGCAATCATGCAAGCGTATAGGATTGATGGCAGTAATAAATACCTAGAGTATTCTTTGAGCAAATGTTGCAAAGAGGTCATAACTACTATTTTAATTAATCTCAAGCAATAGAATTAATATAAAGAAGAGGATGGATGAATAATAAATCAAATCAAATTAATAATACAATTGAAACAGTGATTTAATCAATGTGGACTATGCTAGTGAATTGTGGTTCATCTAATCACGAGACTAATTATAATTCTGAGTTTGGACTTTTACTTCACACTTGTATGACAGCCATTACAACTGTATCATGTTAATCTATCAGTCTAAAAGGCTTTGCTTAATTAACCATAATTATCTCTTCTCTTGCTTGATTGTCAAAGTTATCTTGAATCGCAAACACTTAGATTTATGTCTAGCTTCGATTTTTTTATGTTCATCTTCCTAATACTAGATCTATGCTGCACTTCTCAGTGCACTGCATACACCCTATGGATACGTTATTCAATCCTAAATATGTAGCAATGTACACATTAAAGATGAGTCTAAAATGGAGTCTTGTTCATATATAAGTATTTATCAAAATTCTGGTCACAAAAACTAAAATTCAATCAGTCAACCTTGAGGCTACATCCCTATTCCTAGGTTGGAGACTTAGCATCAAATTAAAGAAACAAAAAAATGAACAATACTGGAATGTCTAAACATCAAATTCAAGGTATAGGAAGAAGAAAAACCATGGATCGATTGGCATATGTGGTGTGTTTCTATCATTTTCTCATTGATCTGTCTTCTCGCTTAGCCTTCTCCTTGATATCTCCCCACCACATAAAAGCTCCAAGAATGGCTCCAGTGGTATGTTTGGCTTTCTCCTGGAGTCCAAAGTTGAATCCCCCTCTCAAATACTCTTGTTTCCTAAATTATAGATGTAAATCTTAGGTCAAGTTGCATCAAAATTCCTTTCTTGTCCTTTTGTCTGGCAAATAAATATGAAAAATCAAATAAATATACATATAATATTTATAAATTAGGTTAATTATAGCATCAAAATTATATCTATTCAAGTGTCTGAAATCTTTTACTAGAACTCTATGTCCATGAGCAAATACTACTACAGTTTCTAGATTTCTAGATTTTAGCTGTTAGATTCTGAGTCAAACATGACGAGTAGATTATTATTTTTTTTTTTACCTAAAATTTTTCATTGCAAAATTGGGCGTTCCAAAAAATTGTTTCACATGTTCTGTTTTATGAGGAAACTTGATATCATGCATTTTGGGAACTTGCACTGTCTAATCCATTTCCTAAAACCTCATTTGCTCAATGATTTCAGCTATCCCTTTTTTCAGTTGTTGATTGCATGATTGCTTTTGGTTATGATCTTCAGGAGGGTTTGACTGCTGATGAAATAGCCAAGAAGGAGCCAGATGAATCACAGCACATGCAGGTCACGCCGTCCCCCTTCTTGACCTCCCATTCCCCAGGATAAACACTGTTGTTAATACTTAATATTATGTTGTCTTTTAAATACCGTGAGGAAGGCTGCTGAGCATCAGTTTTTCTAACATTTGATACAGATGACCGATGCCCGCTGCTCGAGATGCATGGAATGTAAGGTTGGAGTGAGGGATATTATCCATGCAGGGCATGGAGACCGTTATCAGGTTTGCGCCTTTTTTTTTTTGGCTATTTATTTGACTACCAAAACCATCATCTGCACTTTTTATGGATTACGGATCTGCTATTTCAGCTGGAGTGTATTGCTTGTGGTAATTCCTGGTATGCCTCCCGAGATGCGGTATCTTTGCTGACTATAGATGGATCGGATACTCCCAGAAGCGTAGGCACCGCACCGTGGGCCACTGCCAAATTTGAGAATGTTGAGAAGAAGCTGGTGAGTCCTCGTGAATCTGATAAGTCGGCTAATGACATCTTTAAGAAAACAAGTGAAGCATACATGCCTGTTTTGGAAACCCAGAAGTCGTTTGGGAAATCGAGGAAAGATGAGAGCACATAACCTATGATTAGGAAACTGTTGTAGCCTGTTTAATTATTGTAATAGGGTGCTCCTGTATAGTTCAGTTCCTGTTTGAATGTGTACAAGTTGGTCGTTGGTTTTGCCTATAGTTCTAACCCCACATAGAAGTTGCCTAGTACAGTCACATGGGCACGATACAGTTCATGAGGTAGGTAAGCTATTTTGATATGACTTTATTGTGATGGATTTAGACCAAGATTAACACATCCTTCTAGATTTGGTTGTCAACTTTTACGAGTTCTAATTCTAATAGAATCTTTAATTTTAATTTAATTTGGTTAACACACTCTATGGAATTGAGCCTATATGTCAAAATCTTGGAATTGTGTCAATGGCGTTGTGGTTTAGTGGAATGCGGGTTTCCTTTCAATCTGATTTTATTTTTGAAAATAATTTGATTTGTTATATTGATTTGCCAAACGATTTCATTTTTGTAAATTATTTTGTTATGATGAAAGTATGTAAAAAAGCTGCATGTATGAAACTGAGAAAATCGTTTTACCCATACTCCCTTTGGTTCAAAGACAGATAGAAAGGAAAAGAGCCATGAATTCGGATGATGGCAAGTTTGGTATGCCATGTTGATTCCTTGGCTGAATCATTGAGAAAAGTCCCGCGAGAAATTCATTCCATTCCATCGTTTTATTTGTCAATGGAATGCCACTGTTTAAAGCGGAAACCATTCCAAAATTGCCTCAACGATACAGATGTACTTCTTTTATATATTTAATTTGGGGGGCCTCTCAGTCTCCGTAACTATTTATCTCCATTCATATATTATTTTATTCTGCCAAACATCAATTAATGCGTATCAAGGATAATTTTTTTTGGGTGCTTATTTTCATTCTGGTCAATTAAAAAGCTTTCTCCATATCCAAATAAGGCCCGAGTGAATCAGACTTGACTGACGATCCTTAAGATCCCTGTCAATCACACGCAACAAATTTTGCCGTTTACTTTATTGGCATAGGAAATAATAAATATTTGAACGTTATTCTTCTTGTCTCCTCTGCCAGCCAATTTCGTCCCTCTCTCCACACACACATTTCCCCTCTTGCTCAGATGGTCAGATACTCGTAATCCTAATGACAAACCTAGTTTCTTAGATTGTTTCGAACTAGTACGCATTTATAAATCATAACGTCCCGCGTTCACCACATTGTATGTCGAATTTCTCCTGCGTTTTTTGTTTTAATCTAAAAGGCAAGGCCATCTTTGATGTAAGATGCTTCTGGTTGAGAATTCCTCCTTCAAAGGAGAATTTCAAGAACAATTGTAAATAGTGGAAGAAATTCTAGCGCCAGGCCCTTTTAGTGTAAAGTTGAAGAAAGTTAGCTGTGAAGTGGGAGGGATCTGAACTGGACAATATCGTGGATTCCGTTCTTGATAACAGCATGTGCCATTCCCGACGCTTTAAGATGATGACTTTCTATTACAAAATTAATCCTCTTTCCTGTTTTCATAGAAGTTAGAGCCACTAGGCTTTCACTTCCAACTCAATCCAAAGAAACAATTGAAAAAATAAATTTCAACATCTACCTAATATACAACCCAAAATTTATTGTGATAAAAAAATATTAGATTATGTATAATTACATTAAAGTTTCACACAAAAAAATTAATTACTATAAGATTTATTAACAATTGAATTAAACTGCATTATGAATCTTGCAATAATTAATTTTTTTGCATGGAATCTAATTGTCTTCCTATCTCAGAGAGAGAGAGAGAGAGAGAGAGAGAGAGAGAGAGAGAGAGAGAGGAGAGAGAGAGAGAGAGAGAGAGAGGAGAGAGAGAGAGAGAGGAGGAGAGAGAGAGAGAGAGGAGAGAGAGAGAGAGAGAGAGAGAGAGAGAGAGAGTCATTTAGCCCACTCTCGACGAGCATCATGTAGTCTTGCCGAAAAGGAAGTGTGAAAATTACAAAGATTCAAGGACTGAAATTAGATATAAATTGCCAAAATATCCTCGTTTATAGCATTTTCTTTTAAACTCCTAATAGTGTAAGCATGAAGACATTATTGTGACTCTTAGGTATATATCCCTCTAGTTCTTTTTACAATGTCTTACTACTTTTCTATAATTAAGAAAATTAATTCAATGTTAAATTTTTTTACATCTTTCCGGAGTTACTTTTTGATTGGTAATAGATCAGTAGTAAAAGAGGATGGAAAAAAAATTATAAAGAGACGAGTTTTTGTCTTTTTTTTTTTTGGCCCACAAGACTCGTTTTCAAGACAATTGCCTCTCTCAACATTAGATTGTTTCGTATTTTCGTTTGCCTAACCTTGTATCAAGTATTGCTGTATTAAGGTATCAACCTTTACCTTGAATTTACTTTAGTTTGATATATCTTATGTGATATTATTTTTTATTTCACAAAGTATATGTCACCAAGATTAAAATTAGATCCAGTCTTGTCTTTAAAAAATGTTTATTAATATTAAACAAATTTAAAACCATGCGTTGAGCACTTTAAAGTATTAAAAAGAATAACTTGTAAATTTTAGAAAGGCGAATAACATTGTATATACACGCATAGGCACACATAAACACATCACTTTGGGTGGAAGGAGAAGCACCTAAATCCCTGATTACAAAAGGATTATTATTGTTACCATTATAGTGGAGATTATAAGGATATTATTATAAATTTTAATAACTTTTTTTATAAGAAAATTGTGATAACTTTTATGTATGAGTATAACCTTTTTGCCATCATGTTTATGACAGTTATTTTGGGGATGTTATTATAATTTTTGAGATAAATCTCGTGTATTTGAGTTGTTAGTAGCTGTCTTTAAATCATTAAATTAATTTTAATATTGTTAATATGAGAGCATTTAAATATTTTCATGCATAAATGTTTTTTTTCTTGGTTTTCAGGCAGACGTAGCAAGTACTACTTCCAGGTTTATTTAAAAAAATAATTTATATTTAAATAACGGTAAGTTATTTCTCACAATAGGGCTACAGGCTACAAGTAGTAGTTTTCATGGGAATTGTTTCGTAATTGACATTGAATTTGGGTCCTTCTTTGTAATTGGCCCAAACCCAAACAGAAACCTACCCATTGTTAACAGTGAAGTGCTTAAATTCCATGATTACCCTTGTGCACGGAGGGAATAGAGCCGTAGATGGATGGTTCCATTGGAGGCTAACTTGTACTTTCACCAAAACCAGGAGGTGCTTTGACTGGGGCCAGCTTAGATCACTGGTCTTGACTCTCGGGGCAAGACAAAATAAGACGGGACAATAATGATATATAATATTTATAATAAACAATGGGAAAAGAAAAGCTCAGAGCATATGATGGCTTGAAGAAGGACATGGGGATTTTCTAGTAAACATGTGCAATTAGCAGTTTCTTGTCTCTTCTTTCTTTAAAACTCGTGTCCCTGACCTTGTGTCTGTGAAAGAGAGATAGCTCACTCTTTACTCTTCTCTCTTCAGTCTTCAGCCTCTCAGTATATCGGCTTCTAAGACTACTTTTTCCAATTATACGAACTGTGCTTGTGCTTTACTGCTACTTCTCTTGCGGTGGTTGAACTTGCTTTTAAACTCTACTTTCTCGTGGTCAATCTGAGAGTTCTGAGTTCCGTATGGGCCAGGATTGAACCTTCTAGCAAATGGGTTAGTTTCATTAATTATTCTCATGGAGACTTTCTCCTCAAGCTTAGAGAACATGATTGTTCGTTGACGCCGCTTATTGGGATTTTCTTTCGTCGAACTTGCTTCGCCGAGATCTATACGAGTATGCCCTTTTCCTTTTCCTCCCTGTATTTTACATTTTTCCCTGTATATGTTTTGGAATCGGACTGTACTTTATTTGTCTTTTTTCATGATTATAACAGTTATTCAGCTCAATCGCTGTCACTTCACTCAAATTTGTTTATCATAGAAAACATAATCGCACAGTTGTTCTCCCTCTCTCCGTCTTTTCTTTCTTTCTCTTTAATCTTTTTAAAATTTTTAAGCGACAGGTCATATATTCTTCTTCGTGCTCGAAATCGAGATTGGTCTTCTGAAGCAATTTCTGCGATCTCTAACTTTGAGATAATTGGTGGGACGCTTCTGCTCAAATAATGGTCATTTCCGAGGTTAATACTGTAGCTATTTCGAAACTCGGTAATTTAGCGGATAGTGGATAGCTGTAATGTAGGTGGTGAGATGCGTCTGAATTGTAATTAGAAATCCAGTTGTGCGCATGGCAATGCATGAATCTGACTGTTCTTTCTTTCCCTTATCTTTTCCTGCATTGTTTCATTTTCTGATTCGTGAGTGATTTTCATCTATTCTAAGTATGAGAAAGTAAGCTTAGCAAACGTCACTGAAATACATTGCATTACGATAATGGTAAGAGATTTTTTTGGGAGGGGGGATCTCGTGCTTGCATGTGGTTTTATTGCCTTTCATTTTTTATAAACTACCTGGAATTTTATGCTGATTGAGAAGTTCATGTAAATATATGTAGATTATCATAATTGAACGAGTAGATCTAAATTTTGTTAAACAGTAATTGCATGATCCAGCACATTGTCAAGTGAATTGGGTCTCTTACCGGGAACTAATTGTTGTTTTGGTTTTTCTTTTTAATGATGTTGAAGGCCTCTGCATTTGTTGATGGGACAAGAGATGAAGTTGGATGTCAATGTGAAGTCTTCAGAGGGTCTGAGTCCCGATACTGTTCTGTCATCTCATCAATATCCTTTAAATGTCAAGAGGAGATATAAAAAAGTGAAACACATTGGGAAAGATGAATTTTGGACCGTCACAGAAGACTTATCCAAAATCAGGTTTGCTAGGTTCCGCAGTTCTTCATGTAAAAGCATTCTCTCTAGACCTAATGGGCAGGAAGTTAATGTGGAAATGAGGCGTGCTTCCATGCATCAGAGTTCGGAGGAGGTAAAGTATAAAGTATAAAAGAAATGAGCACCAGGGAGGGAAGGAAAAAGATAGAAATTTCACGTAGCAGTGACACCTCTTTTTCTGGTAGCATTGTTGATTCTTTATGTAGTTCTGATGATGAAGGTCCTAGAAAGAAATCTTCATTGATGCGTAAGGATTCAAAAATGAAGTCACGGTCTGTTTCCAGATCCTCAGCTTGCTTGGAGACCAATTCTGCAGATGGCTTTATTGAATTTGCATAAATTCAGATGTTAGGGAAAGATTTTCTACTTCAACTGCGCAGAAAGAGATTCTATAAATTCAAATGCCAGAAATGATAGAGTTACTGTTTCTCAGGAGAAAGATGCAGTTCATTCATTGGTCAAATCATTCTCTGCCAAGGTGGAGGTCTCTCACTTGCTATCTCCTTCAAAAAACGAGTGCTCATCAAAAGCCAATTCTAACGTCCAGTCCACCTCTATCAAGAAAATGCTCAATTCATTCATGAAGTCCAAATCTTTGACAAGTCCGGGGGGCCGAGCGTAAGCTGGAAACTGGTGAGGTCAAATCAACTAATATGGTAAATATAACAAGAACAAAAGCAGGGCTTACCAGAAATCTCTTCTAAATGACTTTTCTAACACAGAAAAGTATTCTGATATTATTTCCGAGTTTATCAGTAGAGATATCCAGCATTCAGGGAGTGCAAGTTCTCCAGTCCACCTGCACGGTAGTCTCAAGTTTGAAAACAGACATGGAGTTCCTTTTTTTGAGTTCAAGGTGAAATGCCCTGAAGATCTTTTAGTGGCCAAGACGTGGAGTGTGGATAATGCTTTCAATTGGGTATATACCTTTCATTCTGTTGATGCTAGAAAGAAAAGCAGTGCCACTGGCTTGGAATCCCATGATTGTGGCAGAGGTTCCTCAATGGTAGCAAAAATGTTAGTTTTCCTCTAACTTATGTTCAGAATTTAAAGATGGAGCCTTTGACAACTCTATGGTGACAGAGTTTGTGTTGTATGATCTTGCAAACTTAAGACCAAGCGCTTCACTTCAAAAAGATTCTCACAGTGACCAAGATTCGAAAACCTTAAAAACCTTCCCGTGTCGGAGTAGAGAGAGAAACATTCGACCTTGATGAGAAAACTCCTGCAATTAAGAACAAACTTCGAGACAAGCTTTTATCTGGCAGTGTTGATTTTGATGATTCAAAATCTTATCCTTGGTCGTGCACAGAATTGCGTCCGAATCTTGAAATTGCTGCCATTGTTTTGCAAATTCCATTTCAGAAGAGGGAAAGCTTCAGATACATGAGAAAGAGTAGAAGAAGTGCCACTGAGCATCGCAACCCAAGCGAGCATTCAGAGATAGAACAGAGTAGAAAGAGCCTTCATGAAATCAGAGGCCCAGAACAGGTGAAGGTGGTAATTCCAAGGGGCAATCACGGTCTGCCCTTTGATGAAAACCAGGGTCCCTCGCATTTACTTGATCGATGGAGACATGGTGGGGGTTGTGACTGTGGTGGGTGGGACATGGCCTGTCCCCTTGTTCTTTTAGGCAATCCTGGCATTCAATTTTCTGAAGAGCGCCCCCTCATGGGGAATTATCAAACACTGGAACTCTTTGTCCAGGTACTGCTGGGTTTCCATATCATTTGTTTCTTGAATTGATAGCTGATTATTTTCCTGATATAAGAAACTTGTTTGTGAATAATTACTGGGAAAGTTAATCCTGGACAAAGATCACCTGGACGATTCAATCAAAAAAACCATATATCACACATCCATTTAGATTAATTATCTAGTTCTATTGTTTTAGGTGAAAAATGAGTGAAAAACTAGTGTCATATGCATGTAGTGATCTAACTCAAATCTCTTGAACAGCATGTTCTTATTGCGGTTCCCTTGGTTCAGTGTTAGTTATGAGATTTCTTTGCCATTGCAGGGAGCAAAAGAGAGCTGTCCTACTTTTAGCATGACAGTAGTTGAAGAAGGGCAATATGCTGTTGATTTCCACGCACAATTATCCACATTACAAGCATTTGCCATTTGTGTTGCTATTTTGCACAGCACCGGTACCTTCCATGGCACGGGACGGCAGAAAAAGCAAGAGATATCGCAATGTGGTTCAACGAAAATGCTTAAAGAGGAGGACCAAGTAGAATTTTTGATAGATTCAGTTAATAGAGAGGAGAAGACAATGTCCAAGTCCAAGTCCCCGAAAGCAAATCTTCGATCCTACGTGCTGAACCCACCTTTTTCACCCGTTGCACGAGTTTGAGGTGTAACGTGGAACCTTCTTGGAGACTCTTCAGCATCAATGCTCGGAATTTAAAAAGGAAAAACCAAAAAAAAAAAAAACAAAGAAAAGAAGAGGGAAGAATTTGTATCGGAGACGAAATCGAGAAATACATGTAATGTATTGAATTTTTTTTTTTTTGGTCCGATATATCTTGAAAAAATTTCGAATTACTCAAATAGTCTATAAGAAAAATGCAAGAGATATTGAATCCAGAGATGCTAAGCAGGGTCTTCTAATGGGCTCTGCTTCTGGTTACGTGAAAGCGCAAAGAAGGGATGAATGAATCATGTAGCTCGTTCATTAAAAAAATTGGATAACGCCGTTGCCGGGGATCGAACCCGGGTCGCCCGCGTGACAGGCGGGAATACTCACCACTATACTACAACGACCGGTTGGTAATGAGATCATTCACGAATAATTAACTAATCATTATATGTGCAAGAATCTCACACCCAATAATACACGTTCCAAAATCGATAAATGCCGCATTGGTCCGTCTCAGAATATGGTCAACGATGCAGTATGGTTGGCGGGATTTCTGACGGGGTGCCACTTTTATTTGTTCTCAAGAATCCAAGGCTGTTTTTCCACTTTTCAGCACTTAATTAATCAGTGAAAAATGAAAATGAAATTATCACGTTAACTTCTTGATCAAAATTTGGTTTACATCGATACAAAATATATTAAATACTTTCTCCATCTTAAATTATAAAATATTTTTAAATAAAATCTTACATACATCATTAAATATATTTAATAATTTTATTATTTTAAAATAAAAATATAAACAGTCAAAAATGCTCATTATTTAATATATTAAAAAGAATATGGATAAAAATTAATTATAAAAAAGAGAAAGTAATATTAAAATTAACATATTTAATAAAATTTTAATCTACTCAAAGTATATGATATTTTGAAATAAATTTTTTTTAAAAGTGTCCTATAATTTAAAATAGAGAAAGTATATCTCAATCCTAAGAAAAATAGAATTTCACCTAGAGCAACCTGAGTTCTTTTTACTTATTATTATCTTATATAAATATTTACTATTTTCAACCATCAAAGTTTCGTTAAAATTTATAATTTTTTATGAAATTTTAAAATAAGAATTTCCATCTTATATGTTTTTCAAATCAACGAAGCTGAACCGGTATCATCATCCTCCTGAATAGAAACTAGAAAGGCCATTCCGTTAAACCAAGCGAAGCTTCCCTTGCAACAATGACGTTCTACTCAGTTCAGTCTCTTGGAGCCTGTCTTTAAAATAAGAGGTTATAATTCAATTAGTTTGAAGCATTCCAAGCAAAAACTATTTCCTTTTTTATTTTTATTTTTTTTAATAGAAAGACACCATGGCATTAATTTGTGAAGAAGTCAAATATTACAATTTACAAGACATGAGCATGAGGCTTATTAACCATGTCAGCAAAATCAATATAAATTAAGCAACCATCTCATGAACCTAATGAGCTAGCTTGTCAGTACACATGTTAGCCTCTCTAATCATATGCTTATAAGTAACAAACCAATCATGCATTAGTAAATCTCCCATTTCATCAATAATGCTGATCAGTGGATGGCTTCTCGAGTGTTTCCTCGCAATAAGATTCAGAGTTTAAGCCGACTCATCCCAAGATTCAGAGTAGTAGGATATCAAGAAGCAGGCATACGAAGTATGCTGCAATGAAGAAGCAATGCACATCAGTGATTAATTTTCCATGCACGCTTTTAATGCAAGATTATTTTCCTCTTTAGCTAAATCTAAATAAGTCGTCATCCTCTAGAATAGAGCTGCCTGTACATTCACGAGCCACTTCAGGACCAATAACATACAGCTTATGAACCACCTTGCTGATCCTGAGGGCTGAAAGAGTGGATCCGGCATGCTTCCAACACAAACCCTCTATACTTGTCAAGAATTTCCTGCTGATGCATGACGCTTGAGGAACTGTTAACATTGTATCTTCTGTCATCTCCATGCTTGTTTTCCAAAGCAGAGGGAAGCTATTCTTCTAAAGAAAATAGCCTCTTGAAAAATTCATACGAAGCAAAGAACAGCGATCCTTGAGACATGTATATAATTAACCTTGGAGTCAGTCCCCTTCAGGCAACCAAAAAAAAAAGTCAATCCCTTGTTCAGAAGCATATTAAGTCATCATCTAATTCGAACTTGAATATAGCTCCTATGACAGTATATGGCATTGATTCCTTTTTTTTCCCCCTATCAGATGTTAGACTCAGCAGATGATACCTGTACAGGCCCCTCACACCTTCGTTCTTTCCTATTTTGCAAAGGGCATGAAACACACTATGATACTGATTTACAGATCCAGGAATCTGCAGTATACTCGTGTCAGATGCAGAAAGGGATCAATAACATATTCGTTTTTAGAATAACAAGGCTGTAAAACGCGTACAAAGGAAGATTAATATAGAGCGGAGCCTAGGTACCTCCATTTTCACCTCATCAATATGTAGAACTAATATCTAAAAAACATATGTAGAAGTAGAAAACTAGGCATTGAATGCATGTGTAATTCTGCAACCTCAATAACAGATATTCATAATTAGCTTTCTTATGTTCCATTATAGCTTCCCGAACAGATGACAGTGTTGTAACTTTCACCCTAGATTGATGGCCGCACCAGATCTATCAATCAAAGGCTTTATTGGCCATATATTGCTTACTGCATATTCATTAAGCAGTAACAAGAATTCATACAATGGACTTTTTCGTTTTAACAAACCTGTGTCTGTAATCTTGTCTTGATCACATCAAAAGGGGTGGTGACAAAAGCAGCAGCAGATCCAGCTAATCCTCCACAGAGTAACTGTATAGGTTGGAGAATCATCATTTCAACAAACTAAAACTCCTGATTATAGTTAACTAAGGTTTGTTAACTACATGTGCTTCATTTAATCTATCTTATCTCAGAAATGAACCAATCAGTAAATGAGCCATATATTTTGAGGAGCATCTGATAACCTAAACTATCAGATGATGCAAAATAAATCACAAACTTTCAAAAACATAGCATCCAATAGCCAGCCGTTAACTTTACCTGACTGATGTTATGTGGAGCCCATAATGACACATGGCACAACCTGGGCACGGCACGTCAGCATGGTAAAGAAGCAAATTTAGCCACAAATTATTTTTGAAGGAGCACTGAGTAGCCTCTATTATTAAAAAAAAAAAGAACATCCAACCCTTTTCCCTCAATTTTGATCAAATACCATTTATTTTCATATTTATGAGGCTTACAAAGCATTTAATTTCTTCAATCTTCTTACTATCATTCTCAGTATCAGCTCAAGAAGAAGAGGTTCAAATAGTTCTTATCTGAAGACATTCACAAGGACGATGCCAATAAAGTGGAAGCTTGATTTTACTATGCATGAGAAAAGCTTGAATCTAGCTTTATTCAGACACAAATTATTTCTTCCACTTTGTTAGCGTCGTCTTTATGAATGTCTTCAGATAAGAACTCATTAAATCTCCTCTTTTCGAGATGAGATTGAGAACAAAGGCAAGAAAATTGAGGAAATTAATGCTCCGTGAGCCTCATAAGTATGAGAATAAACAGTGTTTAGTCAAAATTAAAGGAAAAGTGTTGGATGGTTCATTTTTTTATAGTAAAGGCTACCCAGTGCTCCTCAAAAAATAGTTTGTAACTAAATTTTTACATTTACTATGCTGACGTGTTGTGCCATGTGTTATTGTGGGCCCCACATAATGTTTGTCAACTGAAATTAATGGCAGGCTACTGAATGCCCTATTTTTAAAAGTTTATGATTTATTTTGCACCATCTGATAATTTAGGCTACTAGATGTTCCTCGAAAAATAGTATATGGCCAAATTTGCACCTTTATCCAATTTTAAAAATAATTCTTTGCAACTTTGCAAGTTCAGGACAAAGCTAGAATCACATTTGTTTGCCACTTAAAGTACAGTTTTTTTCCTCTTTCTTTTCTTTCCTTTTTCTTTGGGGGGTGGTGGCTTTGGGTCCATCAAACAGGGGGCAAGTAATGAAATAACGAAGACAAACTTATCTTTGTACTTTATAGAAACAAAAACTGCCAAAAGGAGTTGGTTGTGGGGCAATATCATATAAATTATAATTTTAAAAATAAAACTGCAGAGAGAGCAAGGAATCTAGACAAACTTACCGTCTGAAAGGTGTTAGGCCTAGCACTCAATGGTAAAGATGACATCACTTGCTTCAACCTTTCATATACATAAAACTGCAAACGGTCTCAGATGATATCCCCAAAAAGTTAGTTACTGGAGAACGGCGATCAGCAGTCATAGAAGAACAATTTCAATTTTGAGATTAAACTATTAACTATCATAAGAGGCTGAAGGTGTGTTCATGTTATGAGTTGCAAATTGACAGGAGTCAGAAATAAAGAAGTAATCTTAGCACAAGGATATTTAGGGCATTAGGGTTATTTTCCATTCCCATCTTCATTTCCTTTCCCTTTTTATGCCTATCACTCTTACAAATTAATTCTTCCACCTTTGGATGTACAAGAAACCTATTGTTATATCATATCAGCCATTGGAACGTTGCAGATGGACCCTGAACTGAGTTTTGAAGCATTTACAAACCTTGACAACTGAATGGGGAACATTTCGGCAAAGTACAGCTCCCCAACCAGCATATAATGAATAAAAACCACCCTTACTGATAATTTCAGCCATTGCAAACCTGAAATCGTGAATTCATGTGATGCATAGTAGTGGAAAATTAGAACAATCACCTGGATCTACATGGGCCATGACCCATGAGGGAAATATTCAACTGCAAAAGTGAAAGTCTGCTATCACAGAGCACTGATCAGAATCACTTAGTATAATGTCCAGATTTCAGGCATCCAAGTTACAAACAGTAAGGGATGCTAAAATTAACAATATGTTCAGCAAAGGCAAACATCTAATTCCATTAATTAAATAGAGTTACTAAGAAACACATCATAAACATCACATTGTTGCAAGCAGTCTTAAACGGTACAATTAGTACAGATGATACTAGGAACTCAGCATACCAGCAGTTGCGATAATGAGATCCAACCTGCATCTGCTGCTTTATTCGTTCACTTGGAGTAAAAATAGAAGAGGTGGCAATGCTTGCACAACCACCTGCCACACAATGGGCAAAAGAATAATATTCCTGCCCACAAATATGGTTGAATCTCATTAACATTTAAAGCATTGGTATTACTGTAAGAATCATGCTCAGCGTAGATAACTATCAATAATATGTTGACAGCCATGTTTAACTTTCAGGCTTTTCTCCCCTCGATTGTACCCCATCCAGATACAAGAAGTTAGAGAATAGACCAACACATACACAAGTCAGCAAGAAGAACCAACTTGTAAGTGACACCACTTATTATACTTGAGATACAAACAGAGAAGCCACCTTTGGGAGATAAGGAAGCAAAGCTGCTTTAACTGATTCATAGGTGAAAGTATACAGTGCAGAAGTTGGAGCTGAGCATGCAATGCTTGAAGTAATTCCACGATAAAGTCCAGGCAAACCTGAAATCAGTCTACGTCACTCTAAGAACAGGCAACCTAATGAAGACCTTAATTTAACAGAGTAAGTGTTCTAAATGATGCAAGGAAAACAAGCTACAGAGAATTCAAGCAAGCACATTATTTCTTTTGAAACAACTCACCTCTATCAGAAACAATTGATTTGCCAGTGTGAAAAATGGACTTCTTTTCGGTGCCACATGACTGAATGACTGTCTTAATTGTGTCAACAGGATGTAAACAAAGGCTGACACATACACCAGCCAAAGCCCCAGAAAAAGCATGTTCTTGCTTGGCGAGGGAATGATAAGGTATCTCTTTTGCTGAGACCTCAACTTTTGATTCATTGTCAGTTATGGTATCGGAGAGGTGTATCTGTTTGGCTTTTAACAATTCTTTGTCATCAATCACAAGTTTGCATCCCACAGATGCACTGTCACATGTAGCTAATGAGTCAATATGATAATCAGAACAGATTCTAGGAAATAGAGTCTGACTAACAACCACATCTGCTGTAGCATCATGAACGGCCCCAAGAAAGTAGTCTGCAGACAGAGATGTAAATTTTTGCCCATCCAGCATTCCATCACTAGATGATGATAGATCATCACATATGGTCATGTCAGGATTGCACTGATCACTCTCATTAGCAAACGCAGGGGTGCTTGCATCTATTGAAGTGCAGCCCCCAGCCACAGGAGCAGCAATTTTCATGTTCTCAGACTCAGCAAGCTCAACAGGATGCTTTAGCCCTTTATATGCATTCCCACTCATACACCAATATATATTTCCCAATTTAAATGAGAATTCCTCACTCTCAATGTCCTTTGCTTTCCAACGCTCATTTGAAATGTCTGTAGAGCTCTGCAAAATTTTCTTAAATAAAGAATGAACATAATCTTGATCCCCATTATAAGATTCTAGTGCAACTATTTTCTGCATTACCTTAGGCAAATCCATGTTTGCTGGCATAGAGGATGAAACAAGCCTAGCATCCCCCATAGTAACAGCACTGTAACTAGTATCATTTGAACCATATGCCCTTTCATTTTTTTTCTCGCCATAGTTAATCAGAACTTTTCCTTTATGGAAACATATATCATCTTGATTCACAATTTCCTTAGAGTCGACACATGAAAGTGATTGACTTGCAGAATCCCATATATGACCTATGGCAGAGATAAACTGAGCCATGCTCAGTATCTCTGGGGACTTAAGATCAGGATTTTTGTGGCATTGCTTAGCTTCAGCATTAGATAGAGAGGGTTTATAATTCACATGAGAAAGATCAGCTTTATTGGATGGAAGCCTCTTTTGATTTCTATTATATTTGATTGAATGCCGATCACTTTCATGTGAATTATTGTGTCCAGACATATTCTCAAATCTTTTGTTATCTCCTCGACGCAAAGAGCCTGACAAGATCTTGATAGAAAAGGCAACTGCCACATGCAACAGATTGCATCATGAATTGCAAACTAACTAACCACTTAAAACGATAGAAATATTCATTATTCAACTAAAATGAAGAAATCACTAAGACCAGTGGCATCCAATGACGAAAGAAAAATCCAAATCAATCATGTTTGGCTACAAGACGGGGGCAATGTAATTCAATTGAGAAGCAAGATTTAGGTCCACAAAAAGGTCACATCAGACAATGCATCATTACTATGCAAAAATTAAATTCTCTATGTTAAATTTAATGTGAAGGAGCAGAAAACAGAAAAAGAGTGCAGTAAATTACATCAAGACTCAAGTGATATGGGGCTATCATAGTTTTGTATGGTACTACATATAGAAAGAGTTACCCAATAGCTCATGGTTAATTAGATTGGTAAGAGGACTGAAGAGCATTTTGGTTCCCCCCATAATATCAATCAACCAAGAGTAAGTCTGAAAGACTGAAACTACAGCCACCTGATCCTTACCTTTATCACTCATTAATTATGGACATCGTCAAGCATGATTTATAAATTTCAAAATAAAAAAAATAGATAAAATTCAGCATACAGCCGTATCTACCTGTCAAATTCTTCAGATCAGTGTCATCAAGGAATTTACGGAAATGGAGACCATATCAAATTTCCCTACACAATGGGAACAGATCACGTTATGTGAATGAGGCTCCCTGCAGCAAAGAGAAGAGCCACAAGTGGTCCAAATCAACTTGTTTATCTACTGACTCAATACAGGCACCCTTAGATGGCAAACCATTGAAACCCACTTCATCCAAAAGTGTGGAGGCTGTGCAACATGGCCAAATATGACAGATTTCATCTTCCATTTTCAGTGCGAGAAGAAAAAATAGAACAGCAACCCCTAAATTTCAATTCTTCAAAGTCCGAATCTAACATGTCCTACTGATTACGACTATCAAGCTATGATTTTTTACTAAATCCCAGTCTTCCAACCAGCAAGAGTCTTCTACAGCCTGTAGGATATAAAAAAATGGACCAAATTGCTACCAATCAAGAAAATGGATACGGTGAGTAAAATGGCAACAATCTGCAAAAGAAATGGACGGTATCTCATGTCCATTATTTTATACTTCAGAGGGAAATGCAACTAGAGCCACACAAGCTCCCAAACGGAAGCAATTTTTTAAGGCACTCTAGTTACCCATGAACTACATAGACAAGGATAAAGGAGATGACAACAGGAGCTTAATGCGAGCATACAGAGCAACAATAAATAATGTAGCAAAGTGAAACCTGGTTGTGAACGATAGTTGAGAAGTCATAAAGAGCACCTCTTGGGTTCTGAAATCCATTTTTTCCCAGTGAACTTTTCAGTCCGAGATTGAGAGGATTTAACTTACAGAGGGAGGAGTTATTCCAACCCAGAAAACAAAAAATAAACGAGGGAAAAAGAAAACAATTTATACAGCGCTCTGCCGTTCTTTTCCCTGGTGGTAATCGGGAAAGGTCTGCGACCAAAAACAAAGGCTGCAAAATATAGCTGTCTGAGCCCGGGTTCGAACCGGGGACCTCTAGTGTGTGAGACTAGCGTGATAACCAACTACACCACCCAGACGGCGCGCCATGGGAACCGATCAATTGTATTTTTAATTTATCAGTTATAAATTACATGCCCACAAACTGCATGTGGACCCTAAATGTTGCCGTGTTGTCACCGTCTTGAAACTTCCTTTCTTTGAACCATGCTGGCTTTAACTTGATCTCCCTCTTAATTTTTATTAAGTCAATCGAAACCCACAAGTAGGCAAAAAGATTAAGAAAGCTAGATACACAAGTAAAGAGTAAAGAGTTTGAGTGAATGAACTTGAAAGCTCTATTATTTTGTTTAAGTTGCTTGTGTTTACAAATGAAAGGTGAGGGGTATTTATAGGCCTTTCCCTTTCTTTAGAAAATTTCCACCTTCTTAATGGACGGTTGGGATTAATTCGATCCTACGGTGTACATTTTATCTCTAGAATATTCTATAAAAATATCTACAATAAATATCTAGATATTTATAAAAAAAAATTTAAAGACTATCCCTTAAGATACGTGTGGAATATTTTAGAACATTCTAGAATATTATAGATATCTCCATATTCCTCCATAAGTTTCTAAAACCTTCTAGAAACTTCTAGATCTTTCTAGATTTTTCTAGATAATTCTAGATTGTTCTAGATGCTTTTAGAACATTCTAGAATATATTGAACCCTTGTTGAAAGCTCTGGAATTCTCTCCGTTATTCTGGAGGTCTCCAAAAATTTCACAACCTTGTAAATTCTCTTATATTTGAATATAGGTTATGACAGTGTGCTGCTATTGACTGTGAGCCTTTCTCGTTCTTGCTTTGCTTTTGGTGTTTTGTAACGTGTCCGGGGTGTATGTATATGCAGATACATTAGTAAAGGGATTTCCTACTCCTCTGCTTTTAAGGTTGCTCCTAACTTTGTAAGGAACCTTGTTTCTACTGATTGTTTGAGAAATTATTCCCTTAATATGTAATTACTTTAAATTCTCGGCGTAGCCCTCCTTTTTATCCCAAAAAAAAAAAATTGTCCATTGAAAATCTTGAGTACAAACAAGCAACATTGCCATTTAACCTGAAATACGTGTGTATGTATATGTATATATAACAATAACAAACCTTATCTTATTAGATGATAAATAAATTTTATTATACACGTATATTCTTACACAAAGGTCACAAGAAGCAAGCTTCTGTGATCAAAAGAGCATGCAAAAAAGAAAATAATAATAATAATGAGGGATGCGATCTTTCTTCGACTGTTTTGTGCATCAGGCATGGTAAGCCTGCCCACATCAGGGGACTTGACAAGAATTCAGACTAATCTTGATATCTTGATTAAGTATTGTTAGACCCTTGAGTATGTATTTATAGGGCTCAAACTCGACACCAATATTTAAATTAGAGCAATTCCTTATTAGTTGATTAAACGCTCGACGGTAGCCTAGTAGGTTATAATATTTTAGCCCATGATTTGCACCTTTCATTTCTTGGTTTTGCATTTATCCAGTGTTTTGGTACCTATAAAACTACCTATTACTACATCCAAAACTTAAAAACTGAACTTGCGAGAAATTAACGAGGAAATACAACAGATTGAATAAAGATCGCATGGCGCCTTGATATGATGACAAACAAGTTAGTAACTAGCTGAAGTTCGCAGGCCAAACCCTAGTATGCTTAGATACAAGCTAAAGTTTTAAACCGCCTCATCCAATATCACAGATTGAACGGGCGATAAGCTACAACTGGAGCACAGAATCATAACAAGGATTAGTTCCTACCCCTATAGTCATTCTACAACGTTCAGGCAAAATCCCGGCTGTTGCTATCGTTTAGGCGGCTTCAATGAGGAAGAGCTACCAGCTGCGGTTTTCCTTACACCTACATGCAGGACAAGAAATAAGAAACATGGGAGAGGAAGGAGCTTGGCTCAATTATCAGTTTATAATAGGTATTCAGAGAGTTGCGTTCTGGAACATTTGACAGAGTATAAATTAGGAAAGCTTGGACAAAAGATAATTGGATGAACATACTTGAGATAACCTTTGAGGAGCTTCTACTTAGTGACAACCTCGATGATTTTATCTGCACTCGTGGGACTTGTGAGGCTCTGGAAATTTTTATGGACGATGGAATGGTAAATCTGCATCCAATGAAAAACAAAGTGATGTCAAAGTCCAATTTAATATAGATGGTTAGATGACAAGTCTAATGCTGGTGACAATTCCAATTTAAATACTATATGTCAAGTCCATATAGTATTTAAATTGAAAACGCCAACAGTGCCGGTGACAATTCTAATTTTTCCATGATCCATAACTTCTTTAAAAAATAAATTAAAAAAAGGGATGAGTGAGTGCTGACTTCTCTGTGTTCTCAGCTGGAATGTTCTCGGTTATACTTCTAGTTGGTGTAAGTTCAGCTGACCTCGCTTCAGGGAAAAGAGTGGATTCCATAATACTGTTGATTGATCGATCAGTTTCTGTTCCCATTGAGAGATCACCATCTGATATGTCACTTAATCTCTCTTCAAAATTTTCATCTCCAATTCCTAACAGCTCGTCCACCTCATTGAAATCCTTATCTTTATTTTCTCTGGTTAATTTTAACCGTAGGGAACCTGGGTTTTTGATTAGTCCGTCCATTGAATAATTAAAGCCTAGTTCTGAATGCTTCTCATCATACTCTGAGTAGTTGCCCATGTCAGCAGCAGCATTTTCACCAATTCCTGAATGTTTTTGGCTATGTCGGGGAGTCCTTATGGGTTGTCTCCTATGAATTGATGATTCATGCCTCGATGAGATCATACCCTGATTTGAGTTTTCGAGACTTGCCTTGAGCATTCTCAACCGCTCAATCTCTTCATCCTTTCTCACAACCGCATCCTTCAAACATGTTAACTGCAAGGAAAATGTTTACTTCAATGGCTATTGATAAATGATTAAGTATCGACTTCGTACAGTTATTTTCATTTCATAATCAATTGTCACAAATAGTTCCGCTGCCACAAAAGTGGAACTAAAAGAAACGTATCTGATTCTGATGAAACTGTCACCTTTGTTTCCTTCTCCGTTGGAGGAAAGATAAGAGGCCAAGTGATAATATATTTGTTTTACCACTATATCAAGGGTATTTTTCATCAAATAAAATCTCTGTTAAACAAAGAATTTAAGAAACCTGCTCCATGAGTTGTCTGACCTCCTTCCCCTCTTTGTTGCTACGTGCAGCACCTAACTCAACACCAGAAACCCTCTTTGCAAACTTCAAGGTGCTTATTGTTTCAGAATATGAAGCAATATCAGGATTAAGCTGCACAAACATAAGGGTTTTCGCTTGGCCACCTAGAAAATAGAAGGAAAAAAGCACAATTTAGTACGACTTTGCTTGGAAAAGACCGTTAATGGAAAATTTTTAAAATTAAAGAATGTTACCTAATGAACTTTGAAGAAGTTGTGTTAATTTACTATTTCTGTATGGCACATGCTGACTCTTTTGAGCCAAAGCAAAGATCACATCTCCAAGGGCTGATAGGGATTTGTTTATATGTTGTGCCTCCTTTAACCGGTCTCCTGTTGCTTCAGAACGGTCTACTCGTTCACTTCCCGCAAGATCTACGAGATGCAAGCAGCTACGCAATATAGTGTTGGTTCCCAAATCCGTGCCACGGACATGAACAGTGAGAACACTATCACATGATCACACCCAAGTAAATGAAATTTCCACAATATCTATCGCATTAATAAGGCACTGGAGAAAATTTGAGGAGTGAGGACACAACCTATGGGATCTACTACTTCTTTCATTTAAAGCTGTGACACTAGTTGCTCGATTCAGCTGCCCAATATTCATCAACTCCAAGACATCTTTCATTGAATTCACAGAATGCATACTTGCATCGGGGACTGCCAACCCATTTGGTTGAGCAGTATTCCAAATCCCTATTGTATGCAAGTCAAGATAAACCATACTTGTAGTTTTTCCTTCAACAAGAAAATAAACAAGTGGAAAAAATTGTGCCTGAAATCTGTGCATCGCGCATTAGCATGCATATCTCTAGGTCCAAATAAGAGAGAAACTTAGTGTTATTTAAAAATTAGTGGTCAAAAGGAAAAGGATATCTCTTTTGAGGACCGTTGCTTGATAACAAATCCCGAACTACTTCATTGTAAATTTCAACCATTTGAACACCGACTTCATAAATGATGGAGCCTCTCCTACTTTGGGAGATTTGGAAAAGATCATGAAGTGCTCGGTAGTTGACTCCCCAATTCGATTTTGATGATAAGCTAGGTCCACTCTGAAAAATCAATATCAAGAATACAAGTAAATGAGTACACGTTTAACCATAACAACTTGCAATAGAAATTAAAACGCACAAAGCCATACCATTGTGTATGTCTTTCCTGAACCAGTTTGACCATATGCAAATATACAAACATTGTAACCATCCAGAACAGAACGAATAAGTGGTTGGATGTCAATGTATATTTCCTCTACAACCATTGAATATTGATATATCATTTCCAATAGTCCACAACAACCAAACTCAAAAGACAACCAAGTAATGGAAAGAATGTAGAATGAACTGCCTACCTTGAGTTGCTGATGTACCAAAAACCTTGTTAAACTTAAAAAGCTTACAACTTTCGCTCCCTTGCTTGAGAGGATTGCTAACAATTAATTCACCATTATCCCCAACAAACTCAATAGTTGTCTGGTTTTGGCTTTGCCCTGGAAGAAATGGTCTGATTCGACAATATACTCTAATACTTCCTAAAAAAATGAAGTTTGGGAGGGGGGAGGGGCAGTCAGTTAACAATCTAGAAATGCACCACAAAATACATTAGACCTCAACACAAAATTTGAAAGGTAAACCTAGCCATACACCTTTCATATCTTGAACTTCATTATACAATTTTCTATTTTCCGCAAGAACTTCATGATAATTTTCAGCAGCTTCAGCAAGACCTTTGAGCTTCATTCCTAAAGAAGGTATACACGTGTCTTGTTAATCCACCAGTAAATAAATGATAAGTGATAAACCAGGAAAAGCTTAAAATATTGCATCCTGCCTAAGTATTTGAGTTCATCGGAGTAGCTTCTCTTTGATTTTAGTAATTCCCTTTTTACAGATTCCATTGCAGCTCGCAATTCCTGCACAACATGAAATATTAAATGCTATACAATAAGAAAGAAATTAACAAACTATAAATGCAAGTAGAATAAATGAGGCAAACTTGGAAAGCTCCAAATTGGTCATTTAGGAAACTCTCAAAGGTATGCTCCTTGTCCTTCCATTTCAAAGATTTGGATTTCAAAAAGGTCTTCAGTTCCTTCACTTGTGTCCTTGCATTTGCAAGATGACCCTCAAGTTCTTCTATTCTCTTCTCATAATGAGCTTTAGATTCATTAAGATGCAATTCTAACAGCGAGCACTGCTCTTCATGTGCCCTTCTAGTCGTTTCCAGCTCTTGCTTCAGTGCAGAAATCTCAATTTCATGGCGGACTTTGTCTCTTTTAAATTGAGCAAAATCCTGCTCTTCAAGTTTCTTCCTCTCCAGTTCAGTTTTCTCATGCTGCAGAGCAATCTGAAGATACAAATTATGTAAGAAGCCAAAAAGACACCACATCATTTTTCTTCAACAGATTCAAATAAAGTTTGTAATGTGAAAAATTCATTCTTCAGCTTTTCACAATAATTGCTTGAAGAAGTTTTTCTGAAATTGCATCGCTACATGATATAGTAACAGCAAAGTTAACAATATAGAAATAGTTCATGAACAATGAAGTCCGGATACTTAAGTCCTTTTGCTGCATTAGATGACACAATATAGGCAGTATGCTTATCAGTTTCAACTATTGAATTGTTTCCTTGTGCTAAGCACTGTATCAGAGAATTTAAGTTGTTAATTAATTAAAGCCCATACTTCTATCAATATTTGTAACAAGTTGCTCCACCATATTATAAACTTGCCTCATAATTGTGTAAAAATTTACTAAGAGAGAGCACAAATAAGTGATATCAAATAAAGTTAAACAAAAGCATGAATTTATCCCGATAGTTTGTTCCCAGTTGAATCATCCAAATAAAAATAAAGCTACAGATAGTTTTGCACCTTCAATTTCTGCAACCAACTGGTGACAACCTGCAGAGAGTAGAGCCAACCTTTATAAAGAATGATAATAGTAAATTAATTTGCTTTTCCCTGAAAGATACTGAAATTATCCAACTCTCCCCTGTTTTGAAAAGTTATTATGTTGCCCTCCCTAAAATCAGAAGATGCCCCGCAGTGACTTCCCCTGTATGTTGCGGCAAAAAATAAATTACCGTTGCACATGTTTTAACCAAAATACCCTTGTATTTATTACTTAACTAACATAGTGTTAAATACGTATTGAATCAATATAGAAGGATCACCTTTTAAATTTGAAAGAAATCAAACCTATGGTTTTATACAGATAAGTATAGGAAATGACATTGGAATCAAAGTTTCATTTATATGTTAAAAACCGAAACTCTCCGTTAAAATATTTTGGTTTCCAAATAATATAGGGAAAGGCTGCATAAGTTAGAAGTCTCTTCAGGAAAGGAAGGTAGTTTTGCCCAATAATAAAATATGCAGTATAACATATGAGGCAGAACTAATAGCAAAGAACAGCAGGGGGCAAGAAGGAAGGAGAATGACAGAGATGTCAGAGAAATAAAGGTGTAGGAGGAATAACAGGGTGGAGGACGTAAAGAACTTGAAATATCCTACTGTCAAATCAGCCGAACAAGAAGATAATTAAACTCCAAATTAAACCAGTTAAATAATTTCTAATTTTATGTTTATCTCCAATTCCTAAATTACAATAATATCTCTCCTATTTTTCATTAGCATACATTCATATCCATTAAAATAGAAGATACCTCGTTCTCCTCAGTTGTCCCTGCCACAAGGGTTTCAAGTGCATTTATTCTTGATTGGTATTTCCCTTCACGAGCCTTGAAAAGATTGTTTTGCTGCAAGTAAGCAATAATGTAAATAATTTGTAACAAATGAGATAAATCTTCTACAGATAAAATACATATATATATATATATATATCAAAGAAAGTTTTTATTTTACGGTTTTCAGGCTCTCTGCTTGATTTGAAAAGCGCCACTCAATCACTTGAAGAATATTTCTCAACAGGCATGCTGCACGCTGAGATTAAAAACAAATCAGTTGTAAGCACTATAGAACTTCAGCTCAGTGACGCAACAGAATTTAATTCTGGTAAAATAAGAAAGGATGCAGCATTATGAACTATTTAACAATTAAGCTATGCCATCCTCTTACATGAGGTACATCTCCATTTATTCTAACAAATATGTCATTCAGAATCCTGTTTCCCACGTTGAAAAGCAGTTGAGTTGGGGTACTCTGCAGAAAAGATTTCAATTGTGTAACGGGATCAATCATACGAGTCAAATATTGAATACACAAGAAAATATATCCATGACATATAATGTAAAAATGATTTTATGGTCAGCACAAAACACAAGAGAGGGAAAGAGAGACAGTCGCAAAAATCATGTAACCCTTCATTGGCTTACTTCCAAGCTGGTTGAAGGCAATTCCATAATTTTAGTAGGAAAAAGATCCACATGTGATTCTTGCTTCGAATGGAACAGTTCATCAGACTTATTTCCATTGTGATGCACGGGAGCACCTACATCAATATAAAGAAAATAGAGGAGCGGTGTAACAAATAGCACAAGTAAATATGAAATTGGTAAAGACGCAGAGGCCAGTAATCTGGTTACCTTCAAACATGCCTCCTAAAGCTTCGATTTGTTTAACATCTTGACCTAAGTTGTTAATTTCCCCTTTTCCCTGTTCCTCTTGTTCCAACTGCATTGTTTGTTTTAGACACGCAGAGATTCCTCGTTCTTTTGATTAACTACGCCTGCACCGCCGGCAGAAAACATTTTAATAAGCATGATTTAAATGAAAACATTTAGGACCTTCTACTGAAGAGTAGTTTAATCAAAGATACCGAACAACAATTTGCCCAATAAATTAAACCAGGAATGTCACAGAAATATAAATTTAGCAAATGTCAAAAAGACTATCATATGAACCAGTTCCCCCCAAAAACAATAAACAAAAAAAGATCATTATAAGTACTGGAAAATTAACAACTCAAGTCACTGAACAGTTCTTACCTTCTCCAGGGCGCAGAGGGGAACCAAGCTTATTGAGTATAAAGAGATTAAAAAAATCTGGTTGATGGCACCATACCTCCGAGAAATTAGGTGATTGTGATTCAATTTTATTCATTACCTCCTAACCTCTACATTCTCAGGAACCAACGACGATACAATTTGCGGGGAGAGGGGGGCACTCTTAACCATTCGCAAGCCAAATATAACTTCGAAATCCCAGCTGCATTACTAATTGCCACATACAATAAATGCTCCGAACAACGAAACACTTCTGTGAGTGCGTGCATGCGTGTGCGTGTGAGAGAGATAGAGAGAGACCCAGTAGTCGACGCGAACCTCTGTTGCTTCAGAAATGTAGAAGGAACCGGAGGAGCTTGGAGTAGAATACCATGCCCAGGATATATGCTGAAAACCAGAGAGATGAAACAAGAGATGATTGCAGTTGAAGCTTGAAGCTGCAAAAACTTTTTTAAAAAAATAAAGTTAATTAATTAATATTTAGAAAACCTGCCGACCCAAAAAAAAAAAAAAATTGGAACACCCACAAATGCTTCGGACCAAAATTTCAGAGGGGAAGAGAGACAAAGGTAAGACAAGAGGCTTGATTTATTTTCAAACGACTCTTCTTGACAAGACACCGTGGGGAACTGGGAAAATTGGACTAATTTTTGAAATGAAATTTCGAACTTCGGAGTTTCAACAGCGAAAATAAAAATAATAAACGAGAGAGTTGGCCAAAAAAAAAAAATTTGCAATTTTGACGAAGTTTTGGAATGGAATTCCCGCCCAGCCCTTGATTGTCGCGAAACTAAAATTGACACCAAGCACTTCCCACCAAAAAGTACTATTTTAATTAATCTTTATCTAATTTTATGACCCAAAAAACTCTTTATTCAATTTAAAAAAAAAAAGGAAATATCTTTAGCATCACCGTCACGGCCAAGTTTTTTGGAAGTGACGCGCTCTGACTTCGCTTTGACGGTCGCGAAGCTAAAATAGACCCGTCCCGTTACGCTATTGGCGTTAAGTGCGTGCCAGGTTTTTATTTTTCATTTGCAAGGATTATTAGTTATTAGTTCATTTTCAAGGTTTTTATTTTTCATGTTCAAGCTCTTTTCCAAATCCTTTTGATGTAAGACGTCATGTCCTACCTATCCCGTATCCTATGTGTTGAATATTTCCCTTATATATATGTATGTATGTATGTATGTAAATCATCCAACCGGACTAAACGAGGCATTGGCAGGTGAGATTGAGATTAATACTCACAAAAATATTTTTTCCATTCACGTAAATTTAAATATGAGTTGTTATGATTGTAAGCCTCATTATGATTAACAGTTCCATAAAAGTTATGTTAGACCAAAAAAAAAAAACAGTTTCATAAAAGTTTTACATTTTTTTTTATAAAGAAAAAGGCAGAGTACTGCTTCTTCTTCTTTTTCCCAGATCGATTCAATTCAGCCAGGGGTCCGCCATGATGAGCACGGATCTGATTTAAAGTTTTTAAAATTTTTATTTATATTCTTTATTTTATACTTTTTAAACAAAGATATAATTTTTTAATAAATAGTTTATCATAAGGTAGTGCAGATTTAATTTAAATGACCTAATTTAAAATTAAAATTTATATATTTTTTATAAAATGATTATCAAAATATATTTTGAATAGTCTAGATTTAATATTAAATTTTTGTATAAAATTTTATTTTAATAAATATAATAATAAAGATAAAGATGGTATTTTAAAAAAAATAAAAGTTAAAATTTTGAATTTGGATTGTCGAGTAAATTGGATGATGAATTTTTAAAATTACAAAAAGATTTAATATTAAAATTGGACAATTCAAATTAAATCCAAATTGTCTGGATGGTAATAAACAACTTTTTTATAATTTTTATTTTAATAAATATAAAAATTTAATTATTTTAAATTTAAACTATTTAGATTAAATTACCTGAACGATTCAATTCTCACATGATGCTCGTCACTTTGATGAGCAATGAAGTTTATTCCATTCAACCAGCGGTTTTCAGATCCAGATTCGGATGCCGAGTGAAGTGTCAACTAAATTAACATGAGGAATAAAGAAAGAAAGAATATTTTCGATAAATGCATAAGATAATAGGTATTTATTTTTTATACTCGAATTTTTAAAAAAAATATCGATTATTTCACATAAAGATATTGGAGGGAGCAGTAATTGACACGAGGGGGCAGGTTTAAGCCACTAAAATTATATATATCATAAGTAAATTTGAAGGGTTGGATTTTTTTTTTTTTGAATAAGTATTCTCTTATTCCTATTAAAGACAGTTTACAGTTACAATGTCAAGTATTAAATATAAACATCTCTCTTAGTGATGAGAAACTGTATTACTCCCTTCGTCTCAAATTATAAAGCACTTTTAAAAGGATTTTTTTATCTCAAAATATAAGACACTTTAAATAGATTAAAATTTCATTAAATGCACCAATTTCAATATTATCTTTTCTCTCTCTGTAATTAATTTCTATCACTTTTCTTTTCAATATATTAAATAATGAGTATTTTAAAAAATTTATATTTTTTTTAGAAATATAAGATTGTTAAGTATATTTAATAAGGTTTATTGATATGTAAAATTTTGTCTAAAAATATTTTATAATTTAAAATGAAAGAAATAGTAGTTAACTAATCTCAACTTCTATTAAGCTTTAGGCTGTGGTTCTAGAGGAGAGGGGTGTCTCATATTTTTCATTCTTCATTTTCCTTGTTTTCGTTTCATTATTATTAGATCAAAATTTTTTAACAGTTCAAATTTTAATTTTTAATAAATTTTTTATTATAATTTTATATAAAGATTATAGTTTTACATTGTTTAGATCAAATTTTAATAGTTTGAATTTATTTATATATTTTTATGTAAAATTAAAACAACAATTTTATTAAATATTAAACCTGAACGGTTAAAGTTTTGATCAAAGAATAATGAAATAAAAACGAGGGGAGCGAAGAGTAAAATAAAAGAATGACATCCTGCCTCTGATTCTGCAACGCTGTGCGGTTCAAATTACGCTAACATTGAAAAGGACACGGACAAATGATTAAGTTTGCTTGTGTTTCCAGGTGGGAAAAGGATAAAGATTTTGTTGGTATAGTGCTAGCGTCAAAAATAATATATATATATATATATATTACATTGTGCATCAAAATCTATGACGACTGGCATCATTCACGCATTATATAATTTGAATAACAAGGTTTATTTTAAATATTATAAGGGTCAAAATTATACCACCACCCATTTATATGCCCTTTCATACTACAAAATATATTTAAAATCTAATTTCAAAATTTAGCTTACTGATCACACAAAATTTTTTTTTTATCATTTGAGGAAAAGCTATAATAGGAATATGTTTATAATTATATCAAGCTAGCAAGAAAAATTTTATTTATAATATCTTCATCCTTCTTCTACACTTTTATTTTTAAACAGCAATCACTTTATTTATTTATTTATTTTTTTGCCAAAAACATTAAAAGACCATGTCAAAATCAAATCAAATTATTCATGGAAAACAGATAGGAAAGCATGGGAAAGGATTTTCATATCCTAAAATCACTACATGACCAGAATCTACTCAATAGTGTAGATAACAAAACATTTACCATTTTTGAATCAGAAAAACTTTGTCTCTCCGTCTCTTCTCAGTTTCCTCGTTCTCTCCTTTTTTTTCTTTTTTTTTTTTGGTCTTGGATCAGTGCTCTCTTCGTTCTACGTCCCTGGCTTGTTTTTGAATCAGAAGAACTCCATCTCTCCATCTCTTCTCAGTTTCCTCTTTCTCTTCATTTCTCTATTTTTTTAGAAAGCTCTCTCGCTCTCTCAGACATCTCTGTTTCTCCTCTCTCAGTCTCTATTTGTTTCCTCTCACGGACTCTCTCTTCTCCGTCCCTATTTTTACTTTTCTCAATCTCTGTTTTTTCTCTCTCAAACTCTGTCTTCTTTGTCCATCTCCTCAGCTTGACTGTCTCTCAGTCTTTGTTTTTTAGAAAACTCTCGTTCCTTTGTTTCTCCTCTGTGCTGTCTCTGTGTTTTCTCTGGGTCTTTCTCTTCTCTCCGTCACTATTTTTTCTTCGTCTCTGCTTGCTCGTTTAGTTTTTGAGTTCGGATCCCTCGTGCTCTTGTTTTCTATTCTTTTATACTCTCGGTCTCTCCTCCCTCTTTTTCAACTTTGTTGCTTTTTTCGTGCATGTGTGGCTGTGTGTTTTGCTTTTCCCTTACTCTTCGGCTTTCTCTGTTGCATGTTTTGACGCTGGTCTGCTGCTCTGGTTTTCCTTTTCTCTGCGTCTGACTTTGGTTTCGTGTGTGGCTTCCTTTTTTGTGTGTGTTTTCTTCTTCTGCATACGGTGCTGCTCTGGTTTTCATCTTTTTTTCTTTTGCTTTCTTTCTCTATATGTTCTGCTTCCCTTTTTCCTTTTATCATGTCTAGTCTTTGTGTGTATTCTGCTTTCGTGTGTGTTGTTGTTGCATGTTTCTGTTTCTTCTCATTCTGCGTCTGTCCGAAAGTGTGTGTGCGTGTGTGCGCGCGCGTGTTCTTTTTTCTAGCATTCTCTCTACTCTCCTTTATGTTTTTGTCTATGGGTTTCTCTTTTTTGGGCTGTGGCACCCAGCCTTATATTATTTTTTTAATTTCTTTTCTTTTTTTTAGATTAACACACACACACACACACATGTATACATGCACATTTTTTAAATGAAAACTAAGATTTAAGGAGAGAAATTTAACTCTCAAAATTTGACTTTCAATATGTTTGAATGATTGGGATAATTTAGAAAGAGATTTTAAAAGATTTAAACAAGATTATTATTATTTTTTGAAAATATAATCCTAAAAAAGGATTAAATTTCATTCTTGTATTTTTATTTTTTTGTTATTTTAATGAACTAAAAGAAACAAAATCCTAACCAACAACAGATTATTCAAAATAAAATTAAACCCTATTAATTATTATTTTTTGAAAATATAATCCTGAAAATGATTAAATTTTATTTTTATATTTTTTTAGTTATTTATTATTATTTTTATTAAATTTGAAAAAATGTTCGGACAAAATACAGTATTCACACTGTAACATCTTGAAAAATTAACACCTTGATAATCAAACTAATCAAGGCTAGTAAAGTAGAATTGATATGGTATGTGGTCAGAAAGGACTAATGAATGCTTTAGGATATATTTTTAGCCTTAGGTTTAGGTTCGGAGAAAAAATTGAGTAACCTGGACATTAGAAAAGGATAAAAAAATGAGAATGCCTTCGTGTTAGAGGCCATGGCATGTGCCGCGACGCATTTAACCAAAAGATGTAAAAAACTTTTTTTGTACCATAAGCCGTGACACATGTGACACATGCTGCAGTGCATGGTTCATTTTCTATAAAAATAATACTTGATTAGACATGAAAAATAGAGAGAGAAAAGAGATTTAAGTGAGAAGGAGAAAGAGAATACCAAAAGCTCTACTATGGCTTAACGAATTAAAG